AGAAAAGGTTGATGGGTAGACCCCAGCGGCCGAGCTTGAAGGGGCCGTATTGCGGGTGCTTGCCGGCGAGTTTGCGGAGAGTGAGGAGCATGATGGGGATGAAGTAGGATACGTAAAGGGCGACGGTTGGGAGGGATACGAGCGCGGTGAAGGCGACTGTTGAACCGATGTTAATGAGAGCGAGCAGGGCATCAATCAGAGCGACCAGGAGCAAAGCTGGAATCGGGATTTGAAGGGTAGGGTGTACCTGCAGGAGATTGTTAGACATAGAAATTGTGCCAAATGAAGGTATACATACGTAGGTGAAGAAGTTGGCGAATGGAAGGCCCTTGTCTCGCGCAAACGCCCATACCAAGCGTGACACAGAAGCATAGATGTTGAATAGAGAGATCGAGAAGATCACACCATGCATCAACACCAGAATGGTCGCGCCTGCCTTTGACTTTGTTGCTCCGTAGTAGATCTCAACCAACGGCAGCCCAGATGCAGCCACAGTGTCGTAGTCGCCGAGGCAGTACAGAACGCAAACGACGAAAGCGAACTGCATGATGGCGTTCAAGGCCACGGAGGTAATCATGGACTTTGGAACTCGTTTTCGCGGCTCCTTGGTCTCATCGATCATGTGCAGGACTCCATCGAACGAGGTGATGGGGAAAACGGTCGTTAACAATCCCAAGCACCAAGCAATACTCGGGTTGTTCCAACCACTGACATCGTTGGTCAAGGTCTTCCAAACAAAAGCATTGGTGCTGCGCTCCGACAATGTCGCCAACACCGTGATAACAGTGATGAAGAATAGAACGTGGCAGATACCACCGATGGTCTCAAGCGTGTTTAGCACTCTCCTGAGGCCGAAGTTGCACAAGACGGGCACGGCAATGAACGCATACATGAACAAGGTCTGATGCCACCGTTGCGGCACATAGTCCGGGTTGTGAAAGATAACGAGACCCTGGACCATGTTCGACAAGATTTGCAAGCTGCCACCGCAGTTCACGATCCAGGCGAAAACGGTAATCCAGCCTGTCAAACTAGTTAGTCACGTCCGAGCCCTGTAGGAACATCTCCAAACTCGAGATAGGGATGCAAACTTACCCTGCATCAAACCCCAAAACTCAGGCCATTTTTGAGCAAAACGGGCGGACCATCTATATTGAGCACCGACTGTTGGGTCCCTGCGAGGGTCTGCGTCAGCAACGTAGAACTCATTCGGAAGCAACTATGCGCGAAATGCTCACATTGAGGCCATTTCTCCAAGAGACGTTGCAATCGCAGTCGATCCGATACCAGCCAGAATAGCACCGTAGACCAGAGAAACAGGACCTCCGTTATACAGGGCATATTGGAGGGTCAGACCGACAGTTTCCCATCCGGCCTGGAGGGTGAAACCGAAATTGACAATGGCGACCAAGTTGATGTAACGCTGAAAAGTGTCAGTCACTACAATTGAAGTGCCATTTGCGCATGCCATACCTCGAAAACATTCTTATTGTCAGATCCAGATGGGAAGTCCTTTGGCGGACCCTGCTGCTCCTCATGCTGCGAATGCGAGCCACCGCGACCATGATAATCAGACACCACAGTGTCAATCCCAATATCTTTGTCTACCATGATGTCCAACTCTTTCCTCCGCGAAAAAACTCTCTGCAAAGGACAAGCAAAAAAAGACGGTGAGCTGGAGACACTGGCGTGAGAGCAAAGTAAAGAAGACAAGCACAGCCAAGCCGAAGGTAAATTAACCGATTCGATGTTCGATGGCGCAAAGCGAGTCGGTTAGGAAATAGCAACCATTTGCTCGAACCGACAGCGGGGGTGGGCAGCTCGTGGCTGCGTTCGAGAGCGTGGAGGCGTGCGGGCCAGACAAATCCCTGGGAATACCCCATGTACCTTCCATTGCGCGAAGCAGTACGGGAAATAAGATCTAACCTCTCTCGAGGCTACGGTCGAGCGAATCGTATTCTGAGCCAGGGTAGACGACGCGCGGACACAAAACTCGTGGGGCTGCGAATAGAAGCCTCTCAATCAAGCTGAAGAGCAGAATGCTTGTTCGTCACTTTTTGCTTTTGTCCCGCCTGAACGTGCAACGGATGTTCGAAACTGCCCGCTGTCAACGCTTGCTGTGCCGTCAACCCCAGACTCAACGACGCCATCAGATCCTCTGTGCAACCACAAAACCCGAGGAGCCGAAACTCTCCGGCACATGCAGCACCTCCAAATCCTTCGACGCTGCCACCTCGTTTACTGAACCACTCTCATGCTCCTAACAGGCACTCTAGGATCGCGGAATTCGGCTCTCAGCCCGTCACATTAGTCTGTCAAGGGTCCTCTAGCCGTGCGGGCCGCACGTTGGACGTGACACCGCCTGTATCATCAGGTTGGCGCCAAGCAGCTATCACGACCAGATAGAGAAAAAGCAATTCATTGGTAGGGCCGCCTTCATCATAGCGCGAGCTTGGATGACAATGGCCTTGTTAGTGAGACCTAGATCAGACGATGTCCCCTGTCTTGCACTCGATTGATCTTAGTCTTGTTCGCGCCTTAAAAGTCGCTCGCAATTCTTTTCCCTTTCGATAGAATCCGTACATGCGCAACCTCTCAAATCATGCGGGTGCCGAGATTGTGCGAACATGTTTGATTCGGCGCTGTGTCATCTTCCTCTTGCTCATCGATAACATCGCGATTCAAGTCGGTTTGTTAGAGGTTGACTGCTTCATCGTTCAACTGCATTAGCGACTGATGGTAGTGCGCTCTACCAAGGGCCAAGCCAGCCCAAGGAATTACTTTTCCAAGGCTGCCGGTACCCCCACATTAGGAAAAGATACGGTAGTGGCCATCACACAGACCCAACGATGCGGTAGCGGTGGATTTGAAGTCAAGGTACCGCGCGCAGGCAGGAGATCAAACGCCGCGACACTCACATCCTCGAGGACCCAGAGGGCTGGCAATCGGATCGTAGGAGCGTGCCGTGCCTTGCCTTGCCCTGACGGCTGCTGCCTTCGGGCAATATCCTCTCGGCAGCTCCCCTGATCGGTGTGATGGTTCGGTGCGACCTGACTTCCTCTCCATCGTCATTGTCATGGCTGGGACATACAAACCCATAGCTGGTCTTTCGCCCGACAACCAAGGACCAGCTCTTACGATTGTTGCTATCGTGCTCTCTGCGACATCGGTACTCTTCTCTTCTGTACGGTATGCCATTGGGCGGAAGAGAATTCTCCAGTTTGAAAGTGATGATGCTATCTTCGGCGTCGCCTTGGTATGTTTGCAAGCTGGCGCTTGTCAGCCCTTCTGCTCACAATGTACCAGTGTTTCGGCATCGCAGCCTCAATTATGTCGAACGCAACAGTCGGAACTGGACTTGGAAGACATGAAGATTCCTTGAGCGAAAAGCAGTTGGAGCGGTACTTCAAGGTTCGTCGGTACCGTTATCATATCTCGTGGCGCTCCACAACCGACTGACGTGCATGACAGCTGCAATACACGGCGCAGATTCTCATCGTGCTGTCCATGGCATCTGCGAAAATGTCATTAGTGCTCATGTTCAGACGCATTGTGCCTGTTACCTTCGCGCCCTTTACGCTCAAGATATTAGGCCCAGTCACCGCCGTCTATGCCATTCTCTGCATATTCCTCATCGCTTTTCAATGCCAGCTCCCGTCTCCTTGGGTATTGAATCCAGAATCCTGCTCCACGAATGGAAACGTCTACTATGCGACCACAGTTTTCAACATAATCACCGACCTCCTGCTTGCTGGATGGATCCTCCCATCCATTTGGTCTTTACAGATGGAGCAGAACACCAGAATCCTCGTCATGTCCCTCTTCGCAACCCGCGTTGTAGTCTCTGCAGTCGACTGCGGCAGACTCGTATACATCCACCGAGCCCTCAACTCCACCGACATCACATGTGAGCATCCTCCCTTCTCCAACCCACAATTGCTGACATGAATCGTAGGGACTTCTCTCCCCTGGGCGATCCTTGACCTCATCGTGATGCACCTCTCCATCAACCACGCGACCCTCCCACGCGTGCACGTCTTTCTAAGCAACCTACAAACGGGGCTACTCGTCACACGGCTGACCACGAACGCCATAAGCACAAACTCGAAAGGGAGTAAGCGCTCCCCCGACGCGGACGATTCGTGCGAGACTGCGGCTGACGGGCGCGCCAACAGCTCACGATGGAAACGCTGGAAACGCTCCAGGTCAGGATCATATGAGAGACCCGCTCCAGCGCGCTCAAGAAGCAGCCGCGTGCTGAACCTGCTCAAATCGATCGATCGATCCAACGATACGCAGAAGGAAGGCAGTATATCCGAAAGCCCATTGCGGCTCCAGCCCGAACATGGCATCGAGCTGTCCACACAGATCTACGCGGATGCGGACTCGACAGCGAGCGGGGCCGGCAAGAAACATAGCAGAGAGGATCTATATCAGCGCGAACCCGTCGGGAATGGCGGGCCGTTGAACGTGTTGCCGGGCGAGCGACCATCGAGGTCGAATAGCGGGCGATTATTGGGTAGAGGGAAGAAAGCGAGCGGGAATCAGATTACGATTAATGTGCATAAGACGGTGGAGACGACCGTTGAGTTCACGGGACAGGAGAAAAGGAAGGCGGTGCGGTGACCAGAGCGACTCCGAAGAAAAGATGAGGAAACGTATACTTGAAGCGAGATCGCGCAGTTTGAGGACGAGTACGGAGAAGGGCTTTTGACGTGTTGCTCTTCAGCATTCGGTATGAGGCGTTACGGAATCCTTTCTACACTGAGCGTTTGTCGTCAACTGCATGATACCACAAGACTAGATGGAGGAGTTGGTTACATTCACGACATTAGATGAGGCGGTTGTTCAGACTTGCAACATTGGCATTGGCATGAGGCTTTCTGCTTAGTTTTGCTGCATTGGAAGAGGCCGTCTAGAGGATTGTAAAGATAAGTCTGGACATAATCTATACTCTATCTATATTGGAAACTAAAATATCAATTATATAACAAAAGCAGGATGGCGTAGTATAGTTGGTAGTACCCCGCCCGCGCACTGAAAACGTGGACCGACTGGTCGGAGACGTGAGTTCGATTCTCACCGCCATCTATGATAACATCTTTTTTGACCGAAAATGCGGACTGCTTAGCCTCATGTCACCTCTCGTATATCTTTTTGCAATTTTGGTTCCTTCACGGATTGTGATATCGTTTACTCTCCTCCCCCGGCAACAGGAGATCTGTCTGAGATATTGGGGCATACTACAATGGAACTATCTAACTCATCGCTACTAGAGAGTAGGTAATCTGTAATGTAGCCAAAAGGGAAAATGCTTTACTCTTCTTGCCGCTGCGCCCTTAATCGTAAAATTATTAATGACCCGTGAAAGCTCCCAGGAGCGGGTCCATCTCCCGCAACTTCTTGCTTCGTTTCCATGCCAAAACGTTACCTCACACTAGCGCCTCATATCTGTTTACACGTTCGTCAAATTTTACCGGGAAACACGTCACATTCAAGAATTTGGGCACTCTTCCATCCACACAGGATACTTCTTGTTGACTTACTGGCTCATCTTTGCGGAGGGCAATTACGCTATACGCTTCTTCCCGCATAGTATACAACACACCCAATCAGCTCAGCTTGAAATTTCAGATAACTATGACATCGCAGAAACCATCACCAATCGCATCATCCGTAGCTGAGATTAACTTGTCCAGCTTCGAAAAACTCATTACGGATGAAGATTCTCTGTTTGTGCCTAAGCCGGAGCTTCAAAAGGCCTTTCTAGCCCTTTGCCGTCACTGGGATGTAGAGTCTGAACCAGAATCCGACCGATCGGATCACAAGCTTTACGTCGGACAGCGCCTCGGACACAACGTATATGCATGCCTGAAGAAAGAAAACGAGGGCCTTGCTATGCGACTATACCAGGAGAACAAAGATGGCGATGACGATGGATATGTGTCTTGGAAGGACATAGGCACATGTGTGAAGGCTAGCTTCCCATTCACACACTTGAGTTCGGGCCAAAGCCCAGCAATCTACAGTGCGGTCGCATTGCTCTTCTTTCTTCGCATGGGCTACTATCACGGAGGTCTTGTCTGGTACAATTGGCAGATTGACGTGATCAGTGCGCTAGAGCTGATGAATACTGACACAGAGTTCAAGGACTGGTGCAACGAAGAGCTCGAGTCGAAGAACACCGGATTGGAGCAAACAAATACAGCGGGTAAGGTCAAGTCTACTGAAGAGGCCCAAAGCCCTTCAGCCGAAACATTTGCAGCTGTGCTTCGGGAGCTCTTTTTTATGATAGCAAACCAGAGGGCGAACACCAATAACCCAGCACTATATGAGGATGACAGGCCACAGATCATGCAGCCACATCTACAATTAGGCATGGAGCTGCATAGGCTCATTCGAGATGTCCGCGAGATTAAATGGCTCTGCCGTTCTCCCCCAGACTTCTCTCGCATTCCGCGGTTCGACATGAAGGGTATATTCAGTTCACATCGTATTGCCCTCGGGTTCAATGATCAAGGAAAGCGGATTTACGCTATTCTCTTCTTTCCGGGAGTAGATGGAACGGAGCTTGTCGTCCAGTACCACGCCTTTGACAAGAACGACGTCCATCTGAAGTTTGGCGCCATTGAGCCACGGCGCCTAAGGCACTTGAACCACCGTACCAAATCTTTCGAACATTTTTCACATTCTGAGAGGTTTGAAGCCGTCACGAAATTCTACTACATGGTTGGGCATGCTGCTGGATTCTGGGAAGATCCCAAGATCACAGTAACGGAAGAATTGCTTGCTAAGCTAAACTCGGCATGCTGGGATATCAAGACGAAAAGCCAAAAGGTGCAACATGAGACTAGATCTGCTGGAGCTAAGAGAAGGCGACGCACGAGAGCTGACGGAATTGCTGTTGATTCACGAGTTACCAACCGCGTCCTGACAGGTGAGGCAGGTGAGCAAGGCCACGACTTGATCTCTCTCCTTGACAATCTGGGATCGCCCCAACCATCAGAAGCACCAGTTCTACAGAAGCGACGTACCCGCTAACAATGAGATGAGAAGCCTGGTACCTTCGAAGAACATCGAAGCGGTCTCTCCAGGTCTCAAGTGGATGGAAGTGTGAGAATGACTATCAGGTTCAACAGACCGGTACGATGCGTAGTTTTGACACGATGTTGAGTCACAGTCACTCATCGTGACAGTGCTAAGGAAGACCATGTAGAAATCATTGCTTCATTGAAAGCGATTATAGCTTTGACTCCTTCTCCCTTCCGAGCTTCTCCTTGATCGGTCCCAGAAGCGCTTTCATCATCTCCTCAGCATTCAACTCCTGCCCCGTCCCCTCGCCCTGGGGCGGCGGGATATTCCACTCAGGGAGCTCCCTGGTCCCTGTCATACTAAGCTCCAGCATCGTGCCACAAGTGTACTCCTTCTTCTGTATCAACTCCAGCATGTGTTTGGCTACGGTTTCCGGGCGTAGCGACTTGTGGTCCGAGAACGAGAACTGCTTGACTTTTGCAGGGTCGAAGAGGGGCGTCGCGACGGCGCCCGGGCAGATAGTAGTGATCTTGACGCCAGTCAAAGACTCGGTATCTTTGAGCGATTTGACGAAGCCAACGATTGCGTGCTTGGTTGCGCAGTAGAGGGGTGCCGCGATGGAGCCTGCTATGCCGCCTATCGAGGCCTATGGGTCTTGTTAGCAACTTCTTTTCAATCGCGCACAAATTTAAAATGTGAAGACTTACAATGATGCAAACACTGGCCCTCTTCCCTCGCCCAAGACTCTGCCTCATAGCCATCCTCGTCAACTTCACCGGATGGTCCACATTCACCCTGACCTGCGCATAGCCATCCTCCTCCTGGTCCATCCAGAAGCTGCCCCACGGCGGCTCGAACAGCCCCGCGCAGACGCCATACGCATCAGGTACATCGTCCCATTTTTCTTCACATGCTTTGAAGATCTTGTCGAAGTCGGACCATTTCGTAACGTCGGATTGCACGTAGAGAATGTTGGATTTGCCGGAGATGTAGCTGTCGAAGTCGGGTGTGGTCTTGAGGTCTGCGACCAAGACCTTTGCGCCGAGGTCGTGGGATTGTTTGGTGAGCGCAAGACCAATGCCTAGAGGTTGTCAATATGCGCAAATGTGCCAGTGAGACTCCAATTGTCCTGACCGGAAGCTCCACCAGTGATCAGGATGATCTTGTCCTTGAGTGGTATATCAATTGAACCCATACTGTTACTCAGATTCCTCGCGAGTTGGGAAACCTTGAGCATTGTTGCTGGCTGTCGGTTTTAAAGCTCGAAGCTGGGCCAATCGGGTAACGGAAACCGAGTGTTGGATGGGAAGCTATGAAGAGCTAGCTAGAGGAGGGGAAGCAGGAACAGCACTCCGGACGAATTCTCAAAAGCTTCACTCGGTAAATACCAGCTTGGTGAGTGTACTCTGCTCATCACCTCGTCGCTGCGGCACGATACGAAGCGCTACGAGCTTGGGACTGTGAAGTGACACAAAGTGAGGGGTGCAGCACGCATGGTTGAAAGCTTGCATGGAGCAACATGGTCCAAAGGGAAGTGGACGGTCCGGTTCACAACTTGCGCTGGAGATCAACAACGCGCAGCAACGCGTCATGAACTTCAGAAAGTGGAGTTGTGGGGATGGAGATGCTCGGATGAGGATGGGAGCTTTGACCTCAGCCTCGGCATACTGTATCCGGCTAAACGCCACAGCTCGATACTTACCCATCAACTCGCAACTTCAACCACGATTCACAATCTGCACGCATCCCAAAGCGGACCTGCTATATTCTTGCTTGTAATTCAAATCTAGAATTCGCGAACATGCTCCTTCACAATCTCTCCCCCCTCAATAACCACATACTCGACCCCCATTGTCACCGCAATACTATCCATATCAATCAAGTTCTTCTCATCCGGCTGTATGACTCTCTGATAATACGGGTCTAAGAATGCAGCTTCGAAGTCTTCATACTTTCTCACCCAGAAGTCGCCCATGCCATCGTAGGAAAGCGGGAAGCGGCCGGTGGCGTCGAACATCTTTTGGCCGAGGGCTTTGTACTGCGGGGTGGTGTGGTACTACTCAATGATCAGCAAATAAGTTCAAAGGAAGGGGAGGAAGGAAGAAAGGAGTGAGGTACTTGAACGTATTTCACAATGCCATTGCGTTTGAGCCAGTCTATTGCTAGTGGACCGTGCTTGTATGCCCAGTATTTGCTGAACTCGTCTTCTGTTGTGCCGGGCTTGCGGTGCACGCAGACGGTTACGCGGATGAGGGGTTCGGTGCTCATGATGCTGGTATATTTGTGAAGAGTGACCTTGAGTATCGGGATGGAGAGGGGCAGGGTTGAGGGTTGCACGTTTTGAGGTGGGAATGTGACTAGAGACTTAAAGGTCACTGCAATTGATCACCAAAACTACCTCTGAGCTGTTGCTCGATCCGCTCTTGCATACTGCGGATCGGATGAGTATAGGCGCTTGATAATATCCCTGGAAAGCCATCTCGGTGTGCCGACTCTGATATATTTTTGATAACGTTCCATTAGTTTTTCACTTCGAGTCGGAATCGGAACTTGAAGGTAAGGCTGATATACTTCCAGGAAAAGACTGTAGGGAAACATGGGCCTGAAGCAAGACCGAGAGCGCTGGTGCTTCTGTTTGTGGTCATGCGAGCAACGGCATACCATAGCTAATTGATTAGCATCACAAAGACTTGCCGGGTAAGTTCGCGAGAAAGAATGTGTGTGGTAATTTTGGAGAGGCACAGTCAGATTATGGAAATGAAGTCTTCGGGTTGTATTCAAACAACTGCATCTAGCAGTGCCAGCCACCATCTATTGGCATCGCGTTACCCGTTATGAAAGACGCTGCATCCGATATCAAGAACTCGATTAACGGTGGAATCTCTTTCTGATCCGCGACCCTGTTCAACGCAAGGAAGCTCGTGTCCATCTTCGTCCCCCTAATCTCAGCTGATTTCCTAAACATTGGCGTATCGATTGGTCCGCTGGTATCCTATTAGCATCCACATCCTGTCGGAGTCTTGGAGGACTTACGGGCAGAAACAGTTCACACGAATATT